ATGTTCTGAATTGAGATAAATTCCCTGTTCCACTGACTTCAACACAGTTCAGACAACTTGTGATTTTTGCAAATTTACTTCCTAAAATGGGATTTGGGGAGTGGGAAGGATGTGAGGAATAGAAATGTTATGGCACTAATATTTGTAAGTCACAACAAAGCTTTTTACCACTCGATTATCAGGTTAATGGAAATAATAATCACTTTCATCCAGCAAATTTCCCATCTGGAGGAAGGTAATGCATTAGGATACGTTTGACCTCTGAATATCTTTCTGGAATTTCTGTATTATTCTGTTTATTTTGTCAGTTTGGAATAAAGTCTAAGCTACAGAAGGGCATAAGAATTGTAATTCTACAGGTTTAAATACCTCCAATTTGCAAATTTAACCTCTGCAAAACGCCCACTATGATTTGAAATTTATTCTGCCAAGGACGAATCTGGTCTAATTCACTTTATATTGTTTTAAAACCAAATCACCATGTCCTTTTTATACAGGTTTTATGCTGCTGCTTGGAAACCTTCATCTGTTGAGTCTCATACACAGTCTCACCACTTTTAAAAAATAATCAACATAAATAAGAGTTACAAATAATTTCAACAAATCTAGATTTATGATCATTACATCAAGAACTTCCCCCACTTTGCCTTGTTCCCATCTTATTTCTTTGCTAAATATTGTGTAGTAGTGGGTACCTGGCACATTAATTTGGTGCAGATCTGGCACTGGGATAATTAAAATTAAAAGTCTGGTATTCCCAGTGCAGCATTTAATATTCTGGCTTATTTTTCAGGTGTGAAAGAGTTACAGCATTGCTGGGGGATTGAACAGGGAATAAAAGAAAGAACAAACCATAACTCATAAAATTTTTGATTTAATCAGTTTAGAAAAAAATAAGTAAAGAAACAAAGAAATTATCCAGAGGAAAAAAAAATAACCTGTATCCTCCCCACCAGCATTTACTTTCTACATTTATATTTGTAAATTTGGGGGGAATAAAATAAATGGAAAGAAGTGGGAAGACATGGAAAAAAGAAATGGAAGAATGTCAGAGAAAAATGTCATTTTTTTTCACACTATAGTTACAGAAAAAAATAAAAGTACACTTGAATTCAAAGGATAGAAAAAGTCCCATTTCATGACATTTAATGAGAGTAAATTCTTCTGGGTGAAAAATGTGGTTTTCCCCCCAAGCTTTTTTTGCAGTATATAATTGTGAAGCCAAAACAGATACTTTAATTATATCTGCAAAACAATATTGTTTTCACACCTTAATTCATTATCCAGAAGGAAAAATTTAATGAAGGGCATCCTTCTTGTGTCCATCTCTCTTTCAAATAATTTTAATGGCAAACTTTAAATGAAAGTGACCTGTGCTTTGGAATTATTAGAAGAAAACTTATCTAATGCCCTTTATCAAGGAAGATATTTGAGCATTGACAGTAAAATATTATAGAAAATAACAACATTTGTTTTTCATAGACTTTTTGTGGCACTTAAACGCACAGAAATCCTGTTTTGACATAAATAGTGGCAGCAAAAGCTCAGAGATTCCTCACAATTGGAGGTGTTTGGAGAAAAAGGCAAAGTAGAAAATACCAATGTGATATTTTATTGCCTACAACAGGTAAGATCAGAGAATGATTGTCCAAGGAGAGTCTGCATTCTGACAGCAAAAATAATAAGCAGTAAGTCTCAGAAATAAAACTGTGTGGCTAAAACACAGCCTCTATTTTCACATGGTTTTGTTACAATCAGAACCTAAAAACGCGCAATCAAGAATTAAAAACATTGGTTTATATTTTAAGTCTGAAACCAGACCAAGATAAAATGCTAATTTTAATGAAAGGAAAAAACCCCTCCACCTTTATCGCCATCATCATTATTATTATTATAATCATATTCTTATCCATAAAGTCCTTTTCTTCCTGACTCAAATCAGGAGTAAAACCACAGGTATGAAATATTTTGGAAAGCAGGAAGGCTGCACCAAGACAAAGCAAACTGAGGGGACCCAGATAATTGCAAAATCAGAATATTTTAGAAAAATGCTTGTTTAAACCAACAAGAACAGAATGACACATGCAAATGCCTGCAAAGGAATGTCAAAGGGCTGAGCCACACAAAGAACCTCTCAATGTAATTATATAATTTCTGATAAAAACTTAACATTTCTGAATTATTTCATCCCATTTACCTGACAACCAGTTTACCTAATAACTTTTATCCAATAACCAGTTTACCCAATAACCCTTTTACCTAAAAACCAGTTTACCCACTAATCCTTTTCCCCAATATCTAGTTTACCCACTAACCATTTTACCCAAAAACCAGTTTACTTCACAACCTGATACATGGTCAGTGTGTGCAGAGACAAACACTGATATATCTCCCCTTGACTTCAGTTTTTTTCAGTTTAAGTAACACACTAATTTTAATAAAATATATTAAATATATGAATATATTCCATGTAATACTCCACATCCATTATTTTTCCTATCAGATTAGGACCTGCTTAACTCTTTCCCATCTCCATTCCATCTGGAGTTTTCCCAAATGACACCTCCCTCTTTTTTCTCCCATGTCCCAAGGGTTTCTTTGTCAGAGTGAAAACACTCTGATAAAGAGCATTTGGCCCTATCGAGGCTCTCTCAGATCAATGTCTCAGACATTTTACATTCACATCTTTTTTTCCCAATCTGATTCCTGACTGAAGAACTCCTCATGTATCAAAAAATCTCTGTTAGTCCCTCAGGACATGACCTTGTAACTGTGCTAATAAATTTCATCCACTTTTTAAATGCTTTCACCTTCAGAATTACTTAATCCTGCCAATTTTAGAGGCTGTACTTGAGATATTAAATTTTTACTCCTCATAAACCAAATTAATTCTGAGCAACAGCTGAAGACCAAGAGAAATCCTGGTTTTCCCCAACATCAGGTGCCAGGGACTTACACCTTTGGTAATGTCTCCATTGGACATCACTTCCTAACATGCAGAAAAAACAGAGCTGTAATTCCTACTGTCCAGAAAACCAGAGAGGAGCTGAGAAGCCACAGCTCCAGTTGGGCACCAGTGAGTCACCCAGCAAATACAGGTATTTTCTCACAATTACAGCTGCTCCAGGCTCTAAGACACTGCTGACTCACCGGCAACAAATGAGGTTCCTACAATTTTTCAATTTTCCAAATGTCTACTGAAAGAAATCACCCAGAACCCTGCAAAGGTGTTTTCCTCTGCCCAAACAGCTCTAAGAGACAAGATCCAAGTGCTATAACAGCCTCAAAGATCTTTGAAACACTCTAGACCTGAAACAATCAACAGCACAGGGAATTTCTGAGTTTTTCCTGAGATATGAAACACTCTTGATTGCTCTCAGGAGTTCAGCAACATCCAAAAACATTCAGTTTGGGAGTGGCGGGTCTGCTGAAATCTCTTGATGTGAAGAGCAATGAATGTTTATGACAGAGTCTGTTCTTAGAAAATACAAAATTCAAGCAAGTTAACAAGCTTCCTTAGGCCTGGAACCAGGCCAGGCTTAAACACAACTTTTGGATAGATTAAAAGCTTCTGTTGGAAATGTTCTTAAAACTTTCTTTTTCCAACTAAGACATAAATTTAGCTACTAGATTTTGTTGAATAATTGTGGATTTAGTTCAATTACTGTAATAATTGACAAAACCACAGACCCTCCTCATGCCAACAGAGACAACAAAGCTCATTAGCAGGGAACAGCTCTGAGCTTTGCTTATGGAATGCTCAGGAATGTTTGTCCACAAAAATTGGGAAAACTGGTAATTTCAGTCTGGGGTTGGGTTAATTCTGCAATAGGTTGAGTTTTACGAGCAGAAAGCCAGAGTGCACTTCTCCAAGGACAGGCTCTGCTACCAGCAGAGTGAGAGTCATCAACCACATACCTTGGCCAGAATCTCCCAAAAGCTCTGAAGAGTTCAAGAGAAAAAAAATAAAATCTAATCTTGTTGCATAAATTAAAGCTTTACTAAAATACTATAAATTAATTGCAATATTGGCCAGACATTTCCGAGTATTTCTAACTGCTCAGAAGATCCTGGAAACCAGCGTCAAGGATAATCTTTGATCAAAGCACATAGAGGGGAAATAAATTACTGATTTTATAGAAGAGTATTGGGAAGATCTACATGCTGAACATACAGATATTTTCAGTAGGTTACAAATGCACATGCAGAAGTATTTTATGCAGAGGAAGTGGTGTTGGCAGAAAATGGGAACATCCAGAAGTGCATTGGAGTTCCAAACTGAGGCATTAAACTCCTTTCTAACAAGCCCCAAATCCATGGATATTTTTCCATTGGTGAGGATCCCTCTTCCAGAAAACAATTACATAATTCTAGTCTGGATAGAAAAGCAAAGTCTTTTATGCAGTGCAGCATGGGAGGGGTAGAGATTTATTGTTCAGTTCTTTACCATTTCCTTTTCAAAACCATTGAAATGTTGGTCAAATTTCAGCAACAAATTATAGAAACTTCCTTTTTTATTTTTAAACAGCACCAAGAAACACCAGCAAATTGATACTTCCTCCATATTCTGCTGATGCAGGCTTTTTAATCGTTCTGAAAAGTACCAAAACCATTTAAATTCTGTTCAAACCAGCATTCTATCAGGTTACACAGAGGGTGTTTTCAACATATCAGATTAATTACCGGAAAACAGTCATATCATCACTGATCAGGCTTCTCTCATTTGTTACTTTTCAATTTTATTTATTTATCTTAAAATGTCACATTGCAGATTTTGGCCATTGATTTACACTCAGTTAATGTCCCAGGATCCATCTTCCGTCATGTCACAGAATCACAGATCTTTGCTTTTTGCTAAAACCCTTCACTAAAATTTCTTTAAATCATGCAAAAAAAAAATACACTCTTAACAGAAACTACACCATTGCATTGCTGCAAATACAAATATTTTGCACTTTTGGCAATTCCAGGTGAATAAACGTAAGTATTCCATCACTTACTTTGGTAGAGTTTTCAAGTGGTTTTCTCTTAACTCCAAAATTCGCAATTTGACAAGTCTAAAAATAGGATAAAAAATAATGAGTTCATTCAGTGAATTAGTTCAGGCATCCATAAGAATGATTTAAAATTACTGATTTCTATAAAGGAAGAGTCTGTTTCATGTACTACAGTCCAATGTCCAGTTCTGCTGGGGTACAAAACATGTTCAGAACCAAATAATTTCATGTAAGGACAGACACTCAGGCAGGACATGTCTGTCCTCAGTGGAACTCTTCTGAAAAGCTTTGACGGAATTCACCTAATAGCACAGTGGAGTTTGGAACGGTTGTTGTGTGCAGGTTCTAATTCATACCAACACTCAGCACATGTCCTACTTCTGCTAAAAATACTGTAAATTAAAAGGAGACCTGTGAGGGGTTGTAGAATTCGCAGAAAATTTCAAAGGAACTTGTGAACTGAAGAGCAGTTGCTTTTTATCCTTCAGTAAACCTGGAAATACTTGAGAGAAATGAAATTTTACTCTGTTTACTTTGCTCAAGTCATTAACAAAATAGTTTAGAGTTACTGTGAAAAGCTGGTATATTCCAGCCAGGCTCAGCTCTGGGTCAGGGCCAGGACTGTGCTGAAGCAGCACTTGATTTGCCCAGGTCTGAGCAGACCAACATCACTTCCAACACAACTATGTCACCTCAGGATTAGTTTTAGAGTGGTGGGTTGGTGTTCCCACTTGAACCATAAAACATAGAGGAGGGATAAGTATAAAACTGGTATTAGGTGAATTCTGTAACAATGTCAAATATTTTCTCTGTTCATCTTTTGTCTTCTGAGCTCTGTGGCCAGGTGGACAGTCCAGGGGCAGAAAGGCCAACCATCACCTTCATCACGTGGAATAAACTCCCCATTTCTGCCACAGTTGGGCAGGGTAGGGATCCACCAGCTCCTCCTGCCCCCTTTTACGGCAAATTGGGTCAACTTTGAATTCCACCACCTCTGCTTTGTCCTTATCTAACATTTTTTGGCTCTGTTTCTGCTGCATTTATTTTTACCCTCATTCTCCAGCCCTTCTGCTCCACTGTCTTTTGAATCTGCTCTTGTTCTGGTTTCACATGTTGCCTTTCAGTTCTTTCTTTCTTCCCCTCTGACTCACAGCCTTAATCTTTCAGCCCATTTTTCAATGGCAGAACCCATATTGCTGTTTTCTGCCCTTGCCACAACTGAGTCACACATTTGAAGGACAGTCCCCTCCAAGTTCTATTTCTTCTCACCTTTTCCCTCAACTGCCAAACTGCATCACTTCATTACCACATTATTGCTGACACAACATTCCCTCTACAACAATCATTCATCAAAATTGTGCTGAAAAGCCAAAATCTCTGGGTTTTGTTTAGTTTTTCGAGAGAAGGGAGATTTAAACCAGACCCTTAGAGCCTAAGCCAGGTTCAAATGCACGATCACTGTGCTTTGATGACTCATCCTTACCTTCCAAAGTTAGCTGGAAGAAACTCCAAAAAGGCATCATTTAGATAGAGCTGGGTCAGATTTAGAAGTTGTGTGAAGCCATCTGGCAGCCTAAAAAACAGTAAAACCCTTAATGCTCACCTCAGCGTTGCCATGGAAATAAAACAATGTATATTTAGAAGAAGAAAGGTGACTTTCTCTCTCACCTTCTTTGTCTATCCAAATTCTCCGGAAGAACTTACTCATTACAGACAATTTTGTTCATTCTCATCTTCTCCACATTGCAATAACCACATTAAATAGCCTTTTCCTCCTTCCTAGGTAAGGGTTTAAGCCAAAGGTGTCTGTCTTTCTTTCTTTCCTTTCTTTCTTTTTTCTTTCTTCCTTCCTTTCTTTCTTTTCTTTTTCTTTCATTCTTTCTCTCTCTCTTTCTCTCAATTTTTTTAAACTGAAGTAGTAAAATTTCATCCTTTCGCCTCCTTCATTCCATTTCATAATTCCTAGCTTTACAACCCAGATTTTTTGTTACTATTATTGCAACTTCTTGGAAGGGAAAAGTGTCACCAAAGCCCCAACCAAGAGGTTTTCAGTGGCCAAACACATGAAACCTCAACCTCTGTGCTTTGCCAACTCTTTCTCTGCTAAGCGGGAAGACCCCACATTCATTAACAGAGGACTCGGATCTTCCAATAGAGTCATCCCCTCTGGGTTTGAAACAATTAAAAAGAAAGTTAGATTAATCCTGCAAATGAACTTGACACAATTCTTTTAAATTTGAGCTTATTTTCTGCACCTACAGAATGCAAATCCAGCTGCTGATACTCACTTGGACACGGGGTTCACACTGGCTTCGATAATCGTTAAACATTTACAACACTTGATATTTTCTGGAAAATCTTGAATTCCTAAAAAAACATGGAAAGAATTATTATTTACACAAAAACCTGTTTATTTGTTTTGTTCATAAATGAGTTCATTTGGTATTTTCAGATCAGACTTCTGCTCCAACAGGAGGGATACACACATTGAGTATTATAGTCTAAAAGTACTTAAGCCCTAAATAAACACACCAGAACAGAATCTATGCCTTATACTATGGCTATTATGCTAATGCTTGATTTATATAATCTTCTGGAGTTAAATAGTGACATCATCTGTACTGGTATTTGTGCCTTTCATTTCTTCCCAAACAACTTCTCTTTGTCTCTTCCGAGAATACACAGAATCCCGAGAGTCTCGAGGACTCCACTGATAAGAAATTTCCCAACATTTCCAGGAGTGCCAAAGCATCATTTTTAAAATGAAGACACTTGAGTTCAGGCTTGCAAAGGTTTTTAGGCACATAAATGTGTAAATGCATAACTGGGGATGCACATCAGCAAATTAATCTATATAAATCCCGGGAATTTTTTACCCACAGCCCCATGTGCTTAAATCCTTCACACAAGAGCCCAGTGAGTTCTAAGCCACTTCAGGAAGTGGAACAGTTCATAAGTGCACTGAAAAGTGGCCTCACACTCCTCTTGCCAATATTTTTTGGGCACAAATCATGTGCCCAAATCATGTGCTAAACCAAAGTCTGATTTTTAAAAGAAAAATAAACAAGGTAGATCTTTATGGAACCTTCTCCAAAGTGCCAGGCCATAATCCAGACCCAGAGCACGAGGTTCTTAACCATTAGGAATAAAAACTTCATTATTGCTCATATTCACCACAGTTCCTTAAGACACTTTGGGTGTCTCACCATTTTTACTAATATCAAGCTCTCTGAGGTTCACGAGGCTGGCGATGGTGGTGGGGAGGCTGGACAGGTCATTGTCAGGGATGCTCAGCTTCCGTAAAGCCTGACAGTTGAACAGTTGCTGCAATAAAAAAAAAAAAAGATGATTTACAGAGTTTCGGGGAAAACAAACAGTTTGAGATCATTATTTATACACAGAATGGTCCTGGGCAGGGCCAGGAGTTGAACTCGATGATCTTTGTGGGTCCCTTCCAACTCTGAATCTGTGAAATACCACAAAACTCCACTTGCTCCAGAAGAATTCAATCCTCAAAACATAATTTTTAGAGAACGCATTCTTACAGTTGATAGGAATAACCCAACTTAGCAGTGGCAATGGTCAAGAAGAGCCTTCTGTCCAAAACTGCACAGTCATTGCAACCAATGTTTTGTAAGTATTTATATTATTACATCATATATAATAATTATACATTATTGATCTGTTTTATGTTTCATATCAATTGAAAAAATGTTGTGTCTTGTGGTAAAAAATATTTTATTTCATTACATATTTTTCATTACATATTTTAATTATATTTTGACAATACGCAGATTAAATTAATTATCTTCAAGGTATAAAAATGCTCTGGCATTAACACAATGATATGTTCTTTCTATTCCCCCTCAAAATTCAGGACTTGATTCCTACTTATCATTCAAATTCTTATTTTATAAAAGCAAGTCCCCAGTTTTCACCAGAAAATTCAATGGGTTCTGGAAAACAACTGCTCTTTGTAAGCAGCTCACAAGGGTCCTTCCAGTATCAGTGCAGTTCTCACCAGATTTAGTCTTTCTCATAGACTTATCTATGAGAATAAAGTCCATAAATTCACTCACAGCCTATCTGGGAATGCAAAATAATTTGATTTCCTAGATGGAAAACTCAGCCAAGAATCCAGGGAGGACAAAACTAACATCAAAAGGGCTTGAAAATGGCCACTTGTTGCTTCACTTCAAGTAAATTTTAGAACAATTTAAAATATTTCTGAGGTAACTTTCTATGACAATCCTTTAGAAAAATTCTGCTTTTCCTTCAAAATGACCAATTCTCAGAAAATGGGAGGGAATCATGTGAATAATGAATACTCAGGATGAGAAGCACAATCCAAGAGGGACAGGAGAACCCATTCCATGCAGGCACTTTCCATCTCATCCACAGGAAATCTCTCTCTGGAGAACAAGGAATTCCTTTCCAAGAGCACCTGCTTTTCCTTTTGCAAGGAAGCACTTCGTTTGGGATGAGTCTGGAAAATACCATAAGTAAGAGGCTCTGGAGGTGGCCCTTGTTCTACACAAGAGCAGCTCCAGACCCTGGGGATGTTCAGCAGGAGGAACCTGTAAGATTTTGATAAAAATACAAACCAGGCCAAGGTTTGGGCAGAAAAGTTCATGAGTTAAACTCCACAAATGAAATGCTGTACGGAAAATTAAATGCCCAGTGCACATTTCGAGCCATTCCCTGGAGAATTCTTATTTTAGAAGCCGAGGAAGGTTTGGAACTCAGAGTTCTGACACTGTCTGAACACATCCAAGGCTTTGGAACTGCTGAAGGAAGAGGCTTAATAAAAAATATTCCCTCTGGAGTGATTTGAATGATGTACTGTTGTATCAGAAAGAATATAAGGGTGGGGAACGTAGGCCCAAAATTGCCCACTTTTTTCCCCCACTGGATGTTCCAAAGGTGGGGGAAAAGGTGTTCCAAAGGTGTTTTTCTGAGTTTCTGGAGCTTCCTGGCCTTGCCATCCTGATTTGGTTGGAATCATCACTCTGGATATCCATACACGACTTAAATTCCTTTCAGAGTAAAACCCAAGAGGTGTTCATTGAGATTTAATTATAACAATGGATTTTTATTCTGAATATCTCAAGTCAGAAAGGCTTTGGCTGTTCCAAAGGTTCCTGGGGAGAATTTTCATCCCACTCCTGTTTTTCTGGATGTTGATTTCCAGTCGCTCCACCTTCATTAAGATCAATACTCTTTTTATTAGTCATCCATTCATTTGACTCACCCAAATAAGGGACATTTGTGCAGCAGCAGCTCATGATGATGAATTCAAAGGCAAAGAAAATAAAGACTTGGCAAGATTTAGGGGAAAATAGGGTAAGAATTATATAACACTCCTGCAAATCCTTCAAAGAAAAAAGAAATATAAAAACTACAAACTAAAACCTAATTTCTCCCATAGAATATTAATTAAACAGTGGAAAAAAGGTTCAGAGCCATGGGGCAAAAATATCTGAAGCAGTAAATTTGATAAAGGAATTATTTGGGCTGTTTAATTCACAGTAATGATTAATAAAGGCTTAAGACAAAAATGATCACTAGCAAGAAAACAAATTAACTCTTATTAATGTTCTCTTACACACAGCCAAGAGTGTGATAAATGCTGTGTTTACAATAAATTAAAACTAAAAACTATCACCTTCCTAATTTTTGCCTCCTTCCCTTTGGTCCCCAGTTTTCCCATATGGAATCATGGCATTATTCTATGCCCTGCTCTATTTGTCTTCCATCAGCCACTGCAGCTCAGTCTCAAAACCACTTTGATACTTCCAACCCAAAATATGTATACCAAATTATAAAGATCCAGCCAAAAAATACCCCAAATCCCTACCTAAATTAGACATTTCCAATATTCTTCTGTAGCACAATGAAACCATGACATAAAAGAGAGCTGGATCTCAGGGATCCATCAGCAGTAAATGGTCTCCACCAAGCCCCATTTCACGTTTATGGGAACAGAAAAAACTCCTCGTTCTCTGTTTTCTTCTCTAGGAGGGATCAGGCAGCTCTTCACAGCCATTTTTCCCATGAACTAAAGCTCCTGGAGCTGCCCTGCCTTCCCATCTGTGCAGAACTGGGGATGGAGTCAATGACCTCAAGCAATGACCCATCACATTCCAGTAAAGCAACTCCATGGAATAGGAAAAGTACATTTTCTACATTTGGAAATAGAATTTCTAGGAAGTCTCTGTGCAGCCTAACTGAGAAATGTGCTGTGAGATGATGGAGAGTGGATTACAGGGGACAGTGTTTAATTAAAGACTTGTGAGTATCTTTCATTATTGTGGAGAGAAATTCAATTAAGGGCTGGATTACATCCCTTCATGCTTCATTATGTAGCCAGCACCTGCCATTAATTGGTTTTTCCACCACCTTGCTCTCTTTTGTTTCCAGAATACTTAAGTTACAGTAACTTTTCATTCCTCCTAGTAAATATTAATCAGCAGAAGAACAGATTGAAAGATTCCGTAAGGGGAATTTTACTCAGGAAGGATAATTTAGGTGATCTCATTGCAGTTGTGAAACTCCTACTCAGCACTGGCACTTCCCAACAAAATCACAGAATATTCTGAGTTGGAAGGGTCCCACTGATATCCCAGAAGGATAAAGAGCTCATTCTGACAGAGACCTTGCTTTGAAAAGCAGCAATAAAGAGGATTCAAATGTAGTGGCTCCTGATCAAGCAACCAAATGCCACAGGAATTACTTGTGCAAAACCATTTCTTTTGGACAGTTGTTCATTTCCCATTTTAAGGCTCCACTGTCTGTGTTCCTCTGCTGGGAAGGAGTCATCGGTGCTCCTGCTCCGCCCCATCCAGCATGGAGTGTAAGGATGAGGGTTTGGCTGCTTGGGCTGTTCGAGAAGGCAGGAGAAACTGTACAAAGTTGCCCTTGAACCCCCAGAGCCACCAGCCCCTCTTCCCCTTCCAAGGAAGTTGTAACTGCAATGAGGTCTCCCCTCAGTCTCCTCTTCTCCAGACTAAAGGAGCTATCCCTGTCCAACACACATTTTAGGACTCAACGTTGTCTTCCAGCAGAACATGGATTACCTTGGGTAGCTCTTCAATCTGGTTGGCATCAAGGTAAAGCTCCTCCAAGGTCCTCTCAAAATTAAAAACCTCCTTTGGCACCTGCTGCAGGCCACAGTGAGAGTAATCCAACACAGACACGATCTCTTCCTCCCCTCGGAAACATCGGCATGGCACCAGGCGGCCAATGATCTTCCTTTTGGTTGTCATCTCCAAGCAGCATACTGAAGAAAAAGGGGAGAAAACACAGGTTACTGAAACCAACAGCATTTTGGGGACTCTTATTTAGATTTATCATCAAGATTGCAGTCCATGAATACAGTTTTCCTGAGGGATCTCTGTAGTCTGCATTCTGCAGCTCTTGTTTTACCTTTCTCCAGAACATGGAGAAGTTTGATTTGTCAGTGGAACCACAAAACACAACCTCAACCCAGCAGCTTTTCCCTACACCAGGACAGAAGGAAACACTCCAAGCCCAGCCACAACCATTGCTTGGTTTAACAGTGAAAATAACTGTGTGGAGGCACAAGTACAAGCACGTTCATCAAAGCACAGAGGGATGTGTCAGTCCCTGAATCATGAGTCACAGTGGTGAATCAGGTAGAGGTTCTGATTCCCCCTGAGAAATTAGTGTTAATATCTGGTTCCTCTGACACCAGTAGAGTTCCTCAGCTTCCCACAGCCACTGCTGAGGCATTTCCACTGAGTCCTCAACCAGAGGAATAAAGAACACCAATTTCCCTGCTTACAGAACCAGAACAAACACATCCCCAGAGCAGGTGTTTGGGTCACCTGCCATTCCTGCTCCTCTTGTACCACCTTGGGCTGCTGAAAACTCACAGAAATGACTTTTTCTACAGTAAAATAGATGTCTAGGAAGTTTCCCCATTCCCAAACTTCTCCCATCCTTGATGCCAAGTGCTGCAGATGGTCCCTCAGTTTGTGTGAGCACCTCTAACTCCCTCGAGTGAGTTTACAAAACTGGGTCTTATTATTTGTCACTGGAACAAAACACTTTAACTTACCACTGCAGAATGGAGAGAGTAGTCAATAAGTAGATTTTATAATGTCAGGCAGTCCCTAAATCTGGAATAAATATTGACATCTTGAGAAGTTATTTTAACATTATAGATAAATCAGGTTGTCCTGGAACATGTTATCACAAAGGCAAGAAGGGCTAAACATTCAACTCCCATTTTCTAAACCACTTACAAGGCTTTGAGTTACATTTAGGGAAAAAATGCACTAAATTAGTCCGAGTAAAGCAAAATAAGGCTCGCCATTCCCTCAACACCAATCTGTCCCTACTGATACCTGCACTGCACCTTTAGCTCCAGAAATCTTCCCAAATCATTCAGCTGAGTGCACAAGACCAAAACAGATGAAAACTGACAGAGCACTGGTCCTACAACACGTAATTTCCAACGAGAGCCACCTCTGGAGCTGCCCAACCTCTTGGGATTCACATCCAGGAAGCAACATAATTCAAACCCTGACAAAGTAAAAATAAATGCCCTTGGAATAGCAAATTATTTGTAGCTTTTCAAGCCATTGGAGGATAATGAACAACTGAACAGTGACATGGACTTCAAAAACTCCTTGACAAACCCAGTTTCCCACAGGAATTACAAAGCACTTTGCTGGGCTTTATTCTCCTCTGCTGTGGGCACAGGCATCAAACACACCATTTTAATAAAACCCTACAATGAAACTAGGATAAAAGACCAGCCAGAAAGTTTACAAATAGCCAAGTGATAGAACCACACTAAAAATAGCAATTACAGCAGCCAAACCAATTTTTAAAGGTTTTTTCTTTTGCTTATGCAAACAAAAGCATTTCCATTATTGCAGTTCATAAAAATAACTGTAATTTCTTCTTCAACAGAAAGTTGTTTTAAAAGCTAGAGGGAAAAAAGCGGATAAACAGAAGTGAGTTAATTACTCTGCCTTCCTCAAATGCTTTGGTAAGGCCTGACTGTCATGACAAAATAGGTTTGTGGATTAATTGGATTATCTATTGGAAATGTCCTCTTCAGGAGACACAAACTAACCCAATCCCAGATGTGAGTTGGAGAGATGAACAAGCTGGATTTAGGAAGAGATTAATACTTGAATAGCAAAGGAACTTGAACCTGAATTGTGGTGCATTGCTAAGATCCTGTGAGAAATGAGTGTGAGGTGACTCCCCTGCAGAAACTGCTCCCGAGGGACTATTTGCTGCAGGAACGGCTACAGGAAAGGCTGAACTTTAATATATTTTGATAAGAAGTGGTTTTGCACATGTCTGTAATCTGCTCCATTATTTACCCTTGGTAAATAAAAAGAAAACACACAGAAATGCTGAAAAATCTATTAAAAAATCCCCTGGGAATTCTGTTGTTCTTTGCACCACAATGGAATTGAAGGGCCTGTGCTTGAATTGCATGCCCTGTGGACTTGTGGTAATTAAACTTTTTATTAATTTCAGCATTATTAATTCTTACCCTGGACTAATTCCAGCTTTAGTAATTACACTTTTCTTACCTACATTTTGTTCTATCCTAATTTTCAGGGCCTTTCTTTCCCGAGGAAAGAGGATCAGCCCAAGAGAGTCAGCAAAGAGCCACCCCCCAACTGCAGAAGCTGAGTCACATCAATGCTTCATCAGATTTCTTAATTCCTGCAAGGCTTCCCACCTCCTCATGCAAACACCAGTGTTCAGTGCTTTTCCCCCTTTAAACCAGTGAAAGAACTGTAATTCTCCCTGGTAGGGATTAGAGGTCATTGCTCAACACGTCACACACGACGTACTGAGATTATTCACTCCAAGAGAGCTCAAAAATCATATTATTTCTTGAATGAGATAAAGAAACTATGAAAGAAGCACAAATATAACCTGCTACTTATCAGCTTCAAGCAAGCATCTCATTATCAGCATCTGCAGTTTGTTCTCTTCTAAAGAAAATCCTTAATCTAAGCAAAACAGGAGTTTTATGTAAATTAATTACAACAAAATATCCCTTCTGAATTAATGGACCTTTTGTGAGACAAAAACACTAATCCCTGTTTATAAGGAAGCACAAGAGAAGACATTCCTTCCCTACTGGAAAGACAGAGGCAGAGAAAACTGTTGCATGTTCACAAAACTGATTTAAAGATGGGATGAAACAGCTTGACAAACTCCAAACCTCCAAGGATCTTGGAAGAATAGAAAAGCAGCAGGTTTTTTTCAGAATACAAGATAGAAGAATTTCTTTTCCATCTCAGAAGTTTTTTCCTCTGCAATGGGTCTACATATGTAGATGTACCCAGAGGGCAGGTCAGATGGGATATTGGGAAGGAATTCTTGGCTGTGAGGGTGGGGAGGCCCTGGCACAGTTGCTCAGAGAAGTTGTGGCTGCCCCATCCCTGGAAGTGTCCAAGGCCAGGTTGGATGGGGCTTGGAGCAACCTGGGGTACTGAAAGGTGTCCCTGCTCATGGCAGGAGGTGGGACTGGATGGGCTTTAAGGTCCCTTCCAACCCAAACCAGCTTGGAATTCTGTGACATTTTTCTAAAGAGTCAGTAGGTATCTGAAAAAAAGAGGTAGTTAAAATGCTACTGCAAAAAAACCCAGAATTTGCCTATATATAATTGGTAGGATAAATCAATTTTTAATTTTCTGTTTTTCAGGAGAGATTAATTATGGATTTAATTTTTCTACCAAAGTTTTCCATGTAACGCTTCATTTAAGTGTTCTCATCTCAGGGAGGTCTTGGCTCCCGGTTGCACTGAATAACCTGAATGAAAATTCAAAGAGGGCAAAACCCAACAGCTATTGGGGGACCAGCCTGTGCTATGTGACAGGGTATCAAACATACAATCCCTCATGCTCTTGAAATTCCCTTCAGAAGACTCCAAGAAATCACTGTTTCAGTGATCTGGTAGTGCTAGAAGGTTACTCAGAAATCCTGAGAAATTAAAGAATTGAGAATTACTGAGAAAATAAAGAACTTGGAAGAGAGAACGGGAGCATTGCAAGGCTGAACTGAGCAATAATGGCAACATTTGCCAGAGGGTTCAGAAAATATTAATTATATTCAAAGCAGCAAAGAAGTCGCTTCAGTGACTCCTTTGTGCTGCTTCACAGATAAGTGATGATTTTTCTGTTCTTTCTTTCTTTCTCTTATTATCAGCACAATCAACAAAATCAATATACAAGTATGTTGGCTCTTCTCAGCAAGTTACACGTTCCAGCTTGGAAATCACAAACATATCAATCACTGAACTGATACCACTTTCCATCATCTCATTATGGTTCTCCCAGAGGTGTTTTACCACTCAAGAAAAGGTGAAAGTACAGAGCAGCTTCTTTAGAGCCAGAGCATCCCCAAAAACCCGTCCCACCCAGAGTCTCCAAACTGGAGACCCTCAGCTGATCCCAGCCAAGGCCACTCATCCCTGACAACTCCCAATGGATCCGGCACTCCCAGAGCTCAGAGTCAGACTGGACAGGGACACAGCACCAGTTACTGACACGAGAGGAGGCTGAACCCCAAACTCCTGAGCTCTTTCTTTTCCTGGTACCACAGAACCAGGGAATGGTCTGGGTTAGAAGAGACCTTAAAGCTTATCCACTTCCATCCCCTGCCATGGGCAGGGACACCTTTCACTATCCCAAGTTGCTCTAAGCCCTATCCAACCTGGCCTTGGACACTTCCAGGGATGGGGCAGCCACAGCTTCTCTGAGCAACCTGTGCCAGGGCCTCCCCACCCTCACAGCCAAGAATTCCTTCCCAATATCCCATCTAACCCTGCCTTATGGTGATGGGAAGCCATTCCCCCTTGTCCTGTCCCTCCAGGCCCTTGTCCCAAGTCCCTCCCTATCTCTCTTGGAGCCCCTTTAGGCACTACAAGGGGCTTTAAGCTCTCCCTGGAGCCTTCTCTTTTCCAGGTGAACACCTCCAGCTCTCCCAGCCTGGTTCCAGAGCAGAGAGGCTCCAGCCCTCGGAGCATCTCCATGGCCCCTCTGGACTTGCTCCAGCAGCTCCATGTCCTTCCCGTGCTGCAGACCCCAGAGCTGGAGGCAGCACTGCAGGTGGGGTGTCACCTGAGCTCGTAGAGAGGCAGAAAACAGGACTGCAATCTCTGCTGCATCAGTGCACCTTCCCACCCAGTTATCTTCCTGGGAAAAAAAGAAAATCTTCAAGGAAGAGGGCTGCTGCTTTTCAAACAAAGAATAAGCAGATTACATGTCATCAGAACTC